TAGTCCTGGGCCTGTTGGCCTTTTAAGTATAGCTACCCCAGGTGCTTGTGTGAGCTCTCTCTCTCGCTCTCTCTCTCCTTTTATTTCTTCTTTGTTGCTCTTTCCTTCTCTCTCTCTCTCTCTCTCATACACTTTGACACCCTCTTCCTTTACCCCGCTTCCTTTGACTCTCTTTTCTCTACCTGTCTTTCTTTCTTGTCTTTCCTTACTTTCTTCTCTCTCTCTTCTTTTTTCCCCTTGGTCTCTCTCCTCTCTTTCTCGCTCTGTTTCACACTGCGTTCTCATATTCTCTTCTCTCTCTCCACTCTCTCCTTTCATATTTCTACTCTTTCTTTCTCCTATCTCTCTCCTCCTTTTCTTTCCCCATCTCCTCCTCTTCCTCCTTTCTTCTCCTTTTTTCTTCTCCTTCTCTTTCTCTCTTCTCTTCCTCTCTCTCCCTCCTGTTTTCCCTCTTTTCTACCTCTCATTTTTCTTATTCGCTCTCTTCTTTTCTGTCTGTCTGTATCTCTCTCTCCTGCCCACCTCTCCTTTACATTAAAGTCTGCAGACAGTTCCATCTCTTCTAGACCTTGAGATTTGTAGACATCACCAGGGTAGCTCACATGTACCCTAGGATATGATTGCCTATTTGGATTGTTGAAGGAGTGAAGGACGTGCCTTTTCAAAATATGCCGGATTGGTATCTGCATATTTTGAGTCAAAAACACTGCAGAAATTGTCGTTTCGGAAAGGGCTAGCCAACCTGTCTCTTCCTGCAGGCAGCAAACCATAAAGATTCTTCTGGGAAGGGACTCCTCTCCACACCAGCGTGGAGAAATAGCTTTTATCACCAGAGACATCTGTGTGCTACATCTCTGCACACCCTCCTGATCCCCTCAGGCATTCTTTTTGGGAAGGGACTATAATCATTCATGCTTTAAAGCTAGGCTGTAAACTGAATTCATGGTTAGCTTGACCTATTTGTAGCAATGAGCAAAGGCGGTAGCTTGTGAGCGGAGAAGCAAGATGGAGTGAGCCATGTACATTTCTCTCATTGTTACATTATGCATAGGTTCTTGCCACAGAAACATATGAGCCACACATTCTCTCCCTTTTTTTTTTTTTTTTTTTTTGCAGAAGTTTTGCTCTGTTCCCCGGGCTCATGCCTATAACCCCAGCACTTTGGGAGGCCAAGGAGGGCATCACAGGGGCAGGAGTTTCGAGAGCAGCCTGGCCAATATGGTTGAAACCCTGTCTTGACTAAAAATACAAAAATTAGCCAGGCGTGGTGGCGGGCACCTGTAATCAAGCTACTTGGGAGGCTGAGGTAGGAGAATCACTTGAACTTGAAGATGGAGGTTTCAGTGAACTGAGATACTCCAGCCCGGGTGGCTGGAGTATCTAGGTGACTGGAGTTGACTCCATCTAAAAAAAAAGATGTGGGGACATCGAAAGGCTGCTGGGTTTTTGCAGGCCTCTCTTAAAAGTGTTAAGTGTGTGAGAATGTAATTGACAGGTAATGTTATCGTTTTTGAGATGGGCTGGAGTCTCACTATTGATCTCCTTAATCATATTTTGACTTAGGAAATATGACTTACAAGACCAATTATTGCAATTTTTTTTGTCACCCAGGCTGTGAGTACAGTGGCATGATCTCGGCTCACTGCAACCTCCGCCTCCCAGGTTCAAGTGATTCTCCTACCTCAGTCTCCCAAGTAGTGGGATTAAGGCATAAGCCATTACACCAGCTAACTTTTTGTATTTTTAGTAGAGAGGGATTCACTGTGTTGGCCAGAATGGTCTCGATCTCCTGACTTGTGATCCGTCTGCCTCGGACCAGCAAAGTGCTGGGATTACAGGGGTGGGCTAATGTGCCCAGCCTGTCCCCCCACATCTCAGCACACTATATATTTACATCCCCTCCTATGAAGAAACAAATGTGCATGCATACATATTCTGGAGGACATAGTGAACATCCCTGGCAGTTAGATGTTCAGCCTGGTTTGCTAAACTGAAAGCGGTTGTTATTACCATTAATTTCTGCAAGGAATAAGCAAGCATGTCCCATGACACACCTCTACTAAGAAAAAGCAGCATGTTTCAGAACTATGGGAGTCCTGTGGAACATGGTCCTTCCTGGGTCTTTTTTCAGGCTTATTTGTAACTAGAGGGAATAGATATGGTCTCCATCCATGTCCTTGATTTATGATGGAATCCACAGGAATCTGCCACCTGGGAAAACGGGCAATACTTTAAAAATGTTGCATATCATAATGAGATATACCACCCAAATATGACTTAGGAGACCAAGGAATGACACAAATATGACTTAGGAGGGTAAAATTGTAATCTTTTAAAAAGCTCATCAGCCATCATTAGTCTTAATTATTCCTTTTTTTTGAGATGTAGTTTTGCTCTTGTTGCCCAGGCTGGAGTGCAATGGCACGACCTCGGCTCACTGCAAACCTCTGCCTCCTGGGTTAAAGCCCTTCTGCCTCAGCCTCCCAAGTAGCTGGAATTACAGGCATGTGCTACCAAACCCAACTACTTTTTGTATTTTTAGTAGAGCGGAGTTTCACCGTGTTAGCCAGGATGGTCTTGATCTCTTGACCTTGTCATCTGCTCACTCAGCCTCCCCAATTTTTTTTTTTGAGGAGCCAGTGACGATGATTTTGGTCACTGCACACTACAATCCCCATCTCCTAGACTAAAGCAATGTCTCAAGCCCCGCCTCCGAGAGTAGCTGGGAGTACAGGTGTGCACCAGTGCACCTGGCCAATTTTTTGCATTTTCCTTTAGTAGAGATGGGGTTCCACCATGTTGGCCCGGCTGGTTCTGAACTCCAGGCCTCAAGTGATTCACCTGCCTTGGCCAAAAAACGTTCTGGATTATGGCATGAACCCACTGCCCCGGCCAGTGTATGTTGGTAAGTTCACCCTCATGTAGCATGTGTCAGTACTTTAAACATTGTTCTGTCTGTATGGATATACCTATTTGGTTAAATCCATTCATCGGCTCAGGGTTGCAAATGTCTTATAAACCAGGAAATTCTACAATTATCCATGTGAACCAGAAAAGTGTGACAATGGCCTGCGAACAATAAAGTTCTGCAATTATCTGAACGAACCAGGAAGTGTTGCAATGTCCCTGTGAACAAGGAAGTGCTATAATTATCCATATGAACCAGGCAGTGCTACAACTATCGTATGAACCAGGAAATATTACAATGTCCCTAGGAAACAGAAAGTGCTATAATCCCCTAGGAACCAGAGGGTTGCAAAGTCTTTATGAACCAGGAAGTTCTACAGTTATCCATATGAACCAGAAAGTGTGACAATGGCCCTGCAAACCAGGAAGTTCTACAATTCTCTGCATGAACTAGGAATCGCTTGCCAATGTCCCTGTGAACCAGGAAAGTACTACCATTATCTGTATGAACAGAAAGTAGTACAATGTTTATATGAACCAGGAGGTGCTACACAACTATCCGTAGAACAGGGAAGTATTACAATGTCCCTAGGAAACAGTAAAGTTGCTACAATTACCCCTAGGAACCAGAAGGTTGCAAATGTCTTTATGAACCAGAAAGTTATACAACTTATTATATGAACCAGAAAAGTGTGACAATATCACTGCAAACCAGGAGTCTACAATTATCTGAATGAACTAGGAATTGTTGCAATGCCCCTGTGAACAGGAAGTAATACCATACTGTATGAACCAGGAAGTACTACGATCTCCCTATGAACAAGGAAGTATTACAGTATTCGTAGAAACCGGAAGTGATACAATATTCCCTGTGAACCAAAAAGTATTGCCATGCCCCTGCAAAGCAGGAAATGCTACAATTATCCATATGAACCAGAAGTGTTGCAATGTCCCTGGAAACCAGAAAAGTGCTACTATTATCCGTATGAACCAGAAGTATTACAAGTCCCTATGAACCCGGAAGTCGGAAGTGCAACAATTATCCGTTGAACAGAAAGTACTACAATGTCCTATGAAACAGGAAAGTGCTACATACCCCTATGAATCAGAGAGTTGCAAATATCTTTATGAACCAGGAAGTTCTATAATTATCCATAGAACCAGAAAATATGACAATGTCCCTGCAATCCAAAAAATCTATAATATCCGAATGAAGCAGGAAGTGTTGCAATGTCCCTGTGACCAGGAAGTGTACTATTATATGTATGACCAGGAAGTACTACAATGTCCCCCATGGGAGCTTGAGGCAGGCAGATCATAAAGTCAGGAGTTCAAGACCAGCCTGACCCAACATCGAGAAACCCCGTCTCTTTTAAAATACAAAAATTAGCGGGCGTGCGGGTGCATGCCTGTAATCCCAGCAACTCGGGAGGCTGAGGCAGGAGAATCACTTGAACCCAGGAGGTGGAGATTGCAGTGAGCCGAGATGGCACCACTGCACTCCAGCCTGGGCAACAAGGGTTGAAACTCCATCTCAAAAAAAAATCAAAATCAAACAATAACAAAAGTAAAGAATACTTATACATCCTATGTTCCCACTGTCCAAACTCAATCCGCTTACCATGCCAAAGAGATGTCTCAGAAATGATAATTCAAAAACAATAACCAGGTCAAAAAAAAAAAGGAGACTTTGAAAAGTTACTCACTGTTTTCTCCACCAGGAAGTCAAAGTTGGCCCCTAAGGGAGGGAAATGAGCTGTTAATAGCAAAGCTCTGAGAAATCAGGAAGCAATGACCCAAAACAGGTGGATGAAAACCCCACGCCCCACAGTCCTAAATACCCCAGAAAAAGCAAATTCCTAGTTTCACATCACTCTTCCCTCAGGTGAAAACAGTAAACATGAGTATGAGAGGGAATAAGAGAATAAGAGAGAGAGAGAGGGTAAGAGAGATAGAGAAAGAGAGAGGAGAGAGGAGAAGGAGAGAGAGAAGGAAAGAGGGAGAGAGAGGTGAGAAAGAGGGGAGACTAGAGTAAAGGACAGAGAGAGGAAGGGGGTACAGAGAACAGAGAGCGAGGAGAGAGACAGAAAAAAAATAATTTACAAATCAATGGTGCACCAGTCTCAGGCTGGAATGCCAGCTCTACCTGCTGGCAAGTGTCTCCTGCCGACCCCTCACCCACCATCCTCTCCTCCTGTGTCCCCAGCAGCTATTATGAGGGGAGACCCTAAGAGGTGCAGACAGATGACTGTGAGCAGATGTGGGCTAGAGGGTGTCTAAGACGTGGCTTTCCCAGCCCACATGTGCCCCACACACTGACCTGACGATTCACCACGATGTCAGAGGTGCCTTCTGGTTTCGAGCTTTTCAAATTCCAGCTACATTTGACGCACTTTTCAATTGGGTAGGCCGAACAAGGAGGCTTCAGTGAAAGAATCTGAGGGGCTCCATAGAAACCAGCACTCCTGCAACCGTCTCTCCTGATGCAAGCATGGCGGTGCGTTTCACTGCTGTCTGCCTGTTTCGATGCCTCTCTTCTCCAGGAACCGGAATGCTTCGGCCTCCAGGACTCCTTGCACATACTTACCTGACCCCAAGCACACAGTAGGTGCAAAGGAGGGAAGAATGCGTGAAGGATGAAGAAATGCATTAGAAGAGAGATGAGGAAAAACCCTTTCATCAGGTGCCTTGGGAGCAAATGCAGCTGATCAAACCCTACAGAGACATGCCGTCCGCAGTGGCGGCCTGCCGGCAAGAAGGAAAAACACTTAGGAAGAAAAGAGAAAACACCCAGTAGTGGGATTGCTGGGTCAAATGGGAGTTCTACTATCAGTTCTTTTTTTTTAACAGAGTCTTGCTCTGTTGCCAGGCTGCAGTGCAGTGGTGCGATCTAGGCTCACTGCAACCTCCACCTCTCAGGAGTCAAACGATTCTCCTGCCTCCACCTTCTGAGTAGCTGGGATTACAGGCATGCACCACCACGCCCGTCTAATTTTTGTACTTTTAGTGGAGACAGGTTTCACCATGTTGGCCAGGCTGGTCTCGATATCCTGACCTCAAGTGATCCACCTGCTTTGGCCTCCTAATGTGCTGGGATTACAGATACAAATAACAGCATTCTGGCCTGATCACAACCATATTTAACAACGAGGAGACCCCTCCCTCCCTGAGGGCATCAGATCAGGCCTTGTGAGAAGGGGACAGTGTAGGTTAGCACCAGGAGCAGAAATGGTGTGTTTAGTCTGTTTTGCGTGGCTATCACAGAATAGCACACACTAAGTCACTTACTAAAATAGAGGTTGATGGCTGGATGTGGTGGCTTACGCTTGTAATCCCAGCATGTTGGGAGACCGAGGGGGTGGTCACAAGGTCACGAGTTCAAGACCAGCCTGGCCAAGATGGTGAACCTGAACTCTACTAAAAACACACAAAAAATTAGCTTGGAGTGGTGGCAAGCACTTGTAATTTCAGCTACTCAGGAGGCTGAGGCAGAGAGTTGCTTGAACGCAGGAGGAGGAGGTTGCAGTGAGCCAAGATCACACCACTGAACTCCAGCACGGGCAAGAGGGCCAGACTCTGTCTCTAATAAATAAATAAAAATCAAAGAGGGTACTTTTACCTTGCAGTTGTGGTGGCTGGGAAGCCCAAGATGCCCAGCTGATCTGGTGAGGGCCTCACTGTAGTTCATATCATGGAGAGAAAGTGCAAGACAAGAGAAGGTACATGCCCAAGAGAAATAAGGAGGCCACACTCCCACAGTAGCTAACCCCTTCCTGCAGGAGGCATGAATTCCACTTAATAACCTTCATGACTTCTTGAATGTGCCCACCTGCACAGCCACTTGCACAATGAATAGAAAGCTTTTCAGACCTTCTCTCCTTTTCCAAGGCCAGGTAAAGGGCTCACGCCTGTAATGTATGGGAGGTCAAGGCAGGAGAATTGCTTTGGAGCCAGGAGTTCAAAACTGTCTGGGCAACTAGCCAAGGCCTCATCTTTACTAAAAAAAAAAAAAAAAAGAAAGAAATTTTTTTTTTTTAGTGGAGTCTAGCTTCGCCACCCAGGCTGGAGTGCAATGGCACGATCTTGGCTCACTGCAACCCTCCAGCTCCAGCCTTCAAGCATTCTCTGCCTCAGCCTTGAGTAGCTGGATTACAGGCGTGCAGCACCAAGGCTGGCGAATTTTTGTATTTTTAGTAGAGACAGGTTTCACCAGTTAACCAGGCTAGTCTCAAACTCCTGACCTCAGGTGATCCGCCTGCCTCAGCCTCCCAAAGTGCTTGGATTATAGGCATGAGTACTGTGCTGGTCCCCCCCAAAATGTTTTTTTAATTAGCCAGTCAGGCCGATTGCTTGAACCTGGGAGGTGGGACTGCAGAGAGTAATTGCACCAGTGCACTCCAGCCTGGGCGACTCAGACCTCAAAACAAACAAAAACCTCAAAACAAAACAAAATAAAAGCAATAAACAAGAATGCAGACTGAGCACTGCCAAAGACAGGTTTAGCTGCAAGAAGGTCATGGGAGGGGAAAGGAAAAGGCTGGCCTGGCAAAAACCTGGGCTTGCTACATTAGATGAACATCACAGGTTAGCAGGCCTCAGAGAGAAGAGATGGTGAATATTTCCTTTTAGAAGTTTAAAAGGTGTCGAACATTCACTTCGTCTCTCTAGAGCTGGGCAAGAGAAGGCTGGCCGCGTTGCCACAGGCTCTTACAGAGCTGAGATGCAAGATTCCCCACAAAGATGGAGTTTATTTTTCTTCTTTGTTTTTCTTTACCTTTTGTTTAAGTTCAAGAGCACACATGCAGGAGTGCAGGTTTGCTCCATAGTAAACATGTGCCATGGTTTTGCTGCACCGGATCAAACCCGTGGCCTACACATTAAGCCAGCATCCATTAGCTATTTTTTCCTGAGGCTCTCCATCCCCCTTCCCTCAACCTTCTGACAGACCCCAGTGAATATGTTCCCTCCCTGTGTCCATGTGTTATTCTCCTTCAGTTAACCACTTATAAGTGAGAATGGGTGGTTGATTTTTGTTCTGCTTAGTTTCCTGAGGATAACAGGTTCCGATTCCATCATCTTCCTGAAAAGGACATGAACTCATCCTTTTTATGGCTGCATAGTATTCCATGTGTCTATGTACCCCATTGTCTTTATCCAGTCTCTTGTTGATGGGCATTTGGGTTGATTCTATGTCTTTGCTCTTGTGAATAGTGCAGCAACGAGCATACACGTACAGTACTTTATAACAAAAATGATTTTCCTTCAGGTATATGCCCTGTAAATGGGATTGCTGGGCACAGTAATTCTGCCTTGAGGTCGCTGAGGAATCATCATGCTGTCTTCCAGGATGGATGAACCAATTTACACTCCCGCCGACAAGGAAAAATTGTTCTTTTTCTCTACAACCTCAGCAGCATCTGTGTGTTTTTTTCTGAACTTTTTAATAATCTCCAATCACGGGGCTTTGGTTTGCATTCTCTAATGATCAGCAGGTTGAGCTTTTATTCATAGTTCTTGGCCACATGAATGTCTTCTTTCGAGAAATGTAAGATAGCATTCAGGGACTCATGATATGAAAGAAATATATTTGGGGACAAAGTATTTTGATGTGTTTTGTATATTTCTTTTTTTTCTTTTCCTTTGGATAGAGTCTTGCTCTGTTGCCCAGGCTGAGTAGTAGTAGTGCAATTTCGGCTCACTGCAACATCTACCTCCCAGGTTCAAGTGATCCTCCCGCCTCAGCCCCCAGGTAGCTGCCACCACACCCAGCTAATTTTTAAAAATATTTGAATGATATGTGATTTTGCCATGTTGGTCAGGCTGGTCTTGAACTTCTCACCCAGCTTAGTTACTCCAAACTGTTTTAATTCTGCTTACTGCATGTGTGTCAGGCACAGAGTTTTCCATGCGGGCATGGTAGGGGCAAGTCACCTGGTGGCCTTTTTATCTGGCAGCTGTGGGCTGTTGGGCAACCACCCTGTGCAAGTCCCTTACCTGTGCCTGCAGGTTGGTCTTTCATTGAAGGGATTCAACTGAGGATCCACACTAACTGCCGCCTGACTGGTTTCTTCCTTCCTACTCCCACTTTGGCTAGAGGGAGTCCATAAAGAGGCAGGATGGATGGGGAGCAGGCTGTCATGCCATTATGGCAATGCTATGGCATAAATTAAACTTCAGTGGTCATTGATGTTGCGATATGGCAATCTTGGCCAGACGGAGAAGAATGCCATCTGAATAGCTTAATAAAAATAATAAAATTCAACCCTCTGATGGACCCTCTCCTCAGCCAAAGGCATTCCGAAGTAAACCTGAAAAGCTAGTTCACACGATAATTGGAAGCAGGGGTTGGACATGCATCATTAGGTTCTCCTTCCTTTGGAATTCAGGCATTCACATTACCTTCCTTTGGAATTCAGGCATGGCTGACCAGCATTCACATTAAAAACAGAGACCCTTCAGACTGACCAAACAGACTCTTCGTAGCCATAACCAACATGATAGATAGCAGGGTCCTGAGAGAAATCCAAGTATTTTACCCCAAATATATTTATATGACATATTTTTGGAATGGTCCTGCAAAGCTGTCTTTGGCAGGGAGAAAAAATCTGCATTCTACAGAGAATCTCCTTCACTTTCCAGGCCTTTTCTAAGATTCAGAAGATAACTAACCAAGAGTCTGGCACCTTTGAAAATCTTATTTACAAGCTATTCTCTCTGAAGCTTTCTACCTGGGGGGTTCAGCATAATGGGAACTTTGGTGACCGGAACAGTGATTGACAGGCGCTTAGCTTCCACATCGCCGTGCCTCAAAGAAACGACTGGAGATCAATTCCTGGTGCGGTGCTGGAGAACACAGCCACAGTTATCCAATGCTGCGTTGAAGGAGGCACTTTCAGCAGCAGCACGGAGTAGAAACACAGCAAGAAAATCTGTCACTGCACTCCACAAAAAGGAGATATTGTCACAAAATTAAGTCCAGCCTGGAGATCGCAGGGGCTGAGAATTTATGAATTTGTGACAACGGTTTCTTTCTATCCCTTGCCTGCCCTCTGCACTCAAGGCATCTTCTAATCACCCATCAAAATCACCTTAGCAGCTTCCTTCTCAGCCCTTCTCTACTCAAAGGTGGCTTTTGTTTTCTGCAGAGCTGAATTTTCTTTTCCGGCACGAGGCTGAGCAAGATGTATCCGAATGTCCGTCTTGAATGCTGCTATTATACAGACCCTAGCAGCCTTGGGGAACCGTGTGGCTTTCACTTTAGAGAGCTCCAAACGCACCCCTACAACAGAGAATCTTTTCTGTCATGCCTTGGAACAGAGTTTGCCAGTACACCTCATGAAAACAGCCCTCAAGATCCCTCCACTGACGATTTTCCTCTCTAAGTCCAGAGTGGGAGAAAACAGGATGGAAGCAGCTCTGGGATTTACTAAATCTCTCCTCTGAATAAGGAGTAATCTGTTTGTGTGCCAGGCGTGGTGACTTGTGCCTGTAATCCCAGCACTTTGAGAGGCCAAAGGAGGAGGACTGCTTGAGCCTACAAGCTGGGCAGCATAGTAAGACCCTGTTTCTACAAAGTTAAAAAAAAATTGTTTTGAAAAGAAATACATAAAATGCACTCAGGAATGATCCAGTCTGGTCTGGTACAAGGAGGTGTCTTAATGATTTAACGATAAAAAATAGAACCAGCATCTTTATTATGGGATGATGTTACAATCTACCTTCTCATATCTAGGCCTCTGAAGTCAACTGGTCTATCTGATGTCCACAGAACCAAGTGCAGAGAGATGGGGCTTGCCCGTCCTCAAGGGGCAGGACTTTCTGGCCTTTCCTGCCTGCTGCCTGCAGGAGGATTTACCTGGGTTCGTATTTTGTTTCTTAGTGTTTTTGGAGTCAGGATCTCACTCTGTCACCCAGGCTGGAGTGCAGTGGTGCCTCCTTGACCTCCTGGGCTCAGGACCTTCCCACCTCAGCTTCCCTAGTAGCTGGGACCACAGACACATGCCACAACTCCCAGCTAATTTTTATTTTTATTTTTCCTAGAGATGTGGTCTGCCTATGTTGCCCAGGATGGTCTCAAACTCCTGGCCTCAAGCGATCCTGCTGCCTCAGCTTCCCACAGTGCTGGGGTTACAGGCCCGAGACACCAAGCCAGGCCATCCCTGCATCTGTGCTGGGCACGGAAATTAAACCGATGGCCTGGACTCCAAGTACCGGAAGACCGCCTCTTCCCAGAGTTTTAGGGCCATTTTAGGAGAACAGACTTCTTCCCATCGGCCTTCCACGCAGTGAGAATCTCAGACAGTTCAATGCTATTCCCAAGAAACGAGCCCAGTGAAACTTCCAGGACTACATCTTACAAATGGAACTGGTGAAATCCCAACGCCACCCTCACTTGCTACCAATCACCCCCTCCCAGCAGCTGAAGCCCACCGGTATTTCCAGCAGCGTCGGATGGACCAGTCCCTCCAGACCCACAGAGACCTGGGTGAGGCAATGAGGGGAGACTCGGATTTGGGGCAGTCCTGGGTCAAACTGGGTTTCTCCGCAGCGCAGACCAATCTCACCCAAGCCGGCAGGAACAGGCAGGCCGAACTGAAGGAGCTTGAGCTACTCACCCGACATGGTCCTCCGGGCCGCGTGCAGTGGGCGCCGGGGAGCAGTGGGTAGACTTCCCCACCACGAACCCGCAGAGCAGAGGCGCCGTCTCCAGGAACCCGCGTGGATTTCCAGGCCTGCGGGCGACAGTGTGGCGGTCCCGACACCCTGAGCCTCAGGCGCCGCCAGCGTCACCCCCGGCCAGCTATGCACCCCGTGTCACTGGGCCCCACGGGACCCCGGCCTCCTCCGACGCCCCCACGACCCCCACTCCCCGCACTTCCTCCCTGGCGCTCCAGGTCAGCCTCCTGCCCTCTGGCCAGGGTCCCCTTGATCCCCTGTCCTCTCCCCTGTCACCTGCGACCCCGCTACGCCTAAACACTCATGTGCCCAGCAACGACATCGCCCCCGGAACCCCGAGCGACCTCTGCGGTATGAGCAGCCGCCCCGCCGCCCCGCGCACCTGCTTGGAGTTCTGGGCATCTTCTTTCCCCACCACAGCTGGCGCCCCCCGGTTATCCCGCCCCGTCCACTCCCTGGCCCACCCCTGCGCTCCCGGAACCCGGGATCTGCACCTCCTCCGAGCTTGGTTGCGCTGCCTCTGCCCGCGCCCACCGGCCAGACGCCCCTTCCCCCGTCACTCCAGGCCCCCCAGGCCCACCCCTGCGCCCCTCGTCCTCCTCCCCGAGCGCCCCCGAATCCGTTCCACGCCCTGCACGTCTCCCTTCCCCCGCGCTACCACAGCCTCTGTCTTTGACCGCGCTCCCAAGCCCCAGCCTCCCAACCTGCGCCCCCGCCTCCCAGCCTGCGCCCCAACCACGTCTGTCCTCCATCCTGGGGCAGCCTCGGAGTGCCCGCGACCCGCTGCGCCTGGACCTGTACTCCCCAGCACTCGGCGCCCCCGCTCGGCGCACCCACCCCCAAGCGCCAGAAAACCCTCCCCTCCTTCACGCTTGGGCGACCTCTGACCTCCAGCGCCCTGCGCCCCTCGCCCCTACTCTACACTCCAAGCCGTCGCCCCTCCCCCAGCACCCAGCCTCCGCCCCCGGGTTGCGCCCCCACCCCGCTGTACGCCACCGCCCCGCCAGACCTCTAGGTGTTGGAGCAGCCTCTGCGCACCCTGGCGGTCCCCTGCACCCAGGCTTCTTCCGCGACATACGGCCCCCTGCACCCCCCGGCAGCCTCCGGCACCTCTTCCAAGCTCCGGCATCCTCTGCCCTGGGCAGGCGCTGGAGGCGCCGATGCCTCCGAGGGCATCGATTGGCTTCTGTCCGGAAGCCCGGCACCGCCTCCGCCCACCCCCGCGGGCGTGGGTCGTCTCCGCCCAGCTGCAGCCCCCGCCCGCAAACAAGCCCGCGCGCCGCCTGGTGCCCAGCCGGGGCTGCCGGGGAGAGACACCCGGTAACGGCCGGGGGCTGCGCCCCGTGCCGCGCCCCGCCCCCACTGCAGCCCGCGGTTTCCCGGTTTGGACATTTAACCTTCCATCAGCCGGCCCCGAAGTAAATGTTTGCGATGGCTTAAGGCCCTGGGCCCAAGGCCAGCGCGCAGCCCGGGTGGAGGCCGCTCCTCTGGTAGTATCCCGGAGGGAGAAGGCAGGGCTCGTACCCGATCTCACTGAATGCATGAAAAATGCACGTGTGCATACTTGCATGCCTGAATGAATGAATGAGTGCATGAAAAGAGAATAACTGAGTGTTCAGGCCTCGGCTGTTGCATGCGTAGTGAGTGAGTGACTGGCTGTCTGCACGCGGTGTCTATGCATGGATGAGTGGAGGCCGCGTGTGTGTGAATGCATGTGAGGCGTGAATGGACAACTACACGTGAATGAGCGAGCGAGGAAATGGATGAACCATTAGTGTCTGCGCCAGGGAGGGAATGAATGCATTCACAGGTGAATGCGTGAGTTGACGGCATGAATGAGCCAATGCACGTAAGAATGAATTCAGACATATATGCATGAATGGAGGAGTGACTGTGCCGAAAACCAGGTGCATGCATACATGCATGAATGAAGGCACGAATCTATGAATGAGTGAATGAAAGAGTTGAATGCACGAGTGATTGAACAAGTGATTTCATGCGTAACTGACAGTGCATGAATGACTGAAAGTGAATTTATGACGCATGAGTGACTGCATGAGTGAGTGAACAAGGGAATTCATCCTGTATGAGTGCTGGAATGAGTGAAAGGTGAGTTCATGCACACAAGAGCGAGTGCATGAGTGAATGGATGAGTGAATGAACAAATGAATTCACACCTACATGAGTCAAGTGTATGAGTGAGTGAATTAATGCGTGACTAAGTGCATGGATGACTTCAGTAAATTCACACATGTACAAGTGCATGTATGAGGGAGTGAACAAGGGAATTCATGCGTGCCTGCGTGAGTGAGTGAATTCATGTATGCAGGATTGAATGAGCACGTGAAAGCATGCATTTATAAAACAATGAATGTGTGTGAGTGCATGAACAGGATACATGACAAGTGAATATGTGGATGAGTGAGTGAATGAATATGTATGAGTACCTGAGTGAGCTCAACCAACTAGCATGTGTGTTAATGCATACACACATGACTGAATGAGTGAAGATTGCATACATGTCATGAATTAATGTATTATTCATCAGTGAATAAATAAATTAAATGCATGGGCAAGTTAATGGATGTATGAATGAATGAATAAGTGAAAGTGTGAATGCATGCATGCGTGCATTAGTGAATTAAGTGAATAAATACGCGAATGTGTGAATGCATGCCTGTATTAGTTGAATGGGTGAATGAATGTGTGAATGCATGCCTGTATGAGTTGAATGAGTGAATGAATGTGGGAATGCATGCCTGTATGAGTTGAATGAGTGAATGAATGTGTGAATGCATGCCTGTATGAGTTGAACGAGTGAATGAATGTGTGAATGCATGCCTATATGAGTTGAACGAGTGAATGAATGTGTGAATGCATGCCCGTATGAGTGCATGAGTTGAATGAGTGAAATAATGTGTGAATGCATGCCTGTATGAACTGAATGAGTGAATGAATGTCTGAATGCATGCCCGTATGAGTGCATGAGTTGAACGAGTGAATGAATGTGTGAATGCATGCCTGTATGAACTGAATGAGTGAATGAATGTCTGAATGCATGCCCGTATGAGTGCATGAGTTGAACGAGTGAATGAATGTGTGAATGCATGCCCGTATGAACTGAATGAGTGAATGAATGTCTGAATGCATGCCCGTATGAGTGCATGAGTTGAACGAGTGAATGAATGTGTGAATGCATGCCCGTATGAGTGCATGAGTTGAATGAGTGAATGAATGTGTGAATGTATGCCTGTATGAACTGAATGAGTGAATGAATGTGTGAATGCATGCCCATATGAGTGCATGAGTTGAACGAGTGAATGAATGTGTGAATGCATGCATGTATGAGTGCATGAGTTGAATGAGTGAATGAATGTGTGAATGCATGCCTGTATGAACTGAATGAGTGAATGAATGTGTGAATGCATGCCTGTATGTGTGCATGAGTTGAATGAGTGAATGAATGTTTGAATGCATGCCTGTATGAACTGAATGAGTGAATGAATGTGTGAATGCATGCCTGTATGTGTGCATGAGTTGAATGAGTGAATGAATGTGTGAATGCATGCCTGTATGAACTGAATGAGTGAATGAATGTGTGAATGCATGCCTGTATGAACTGAATGAGTGAATGAATGTGTGAATGCACGCCTGTATGAACTGAATGAGTGAATGAATGTGTGAATGCATGCCTGTATGAGTGCATGAGTTGAATGAGTGAATGAATGTGTGAATGCATGCCTGTATGAACTGAATGAGTGAATGAATGTGTGAATGCATGCCTGTATGAGTGCATGAGTTGAATGAGTGAACTTACTTGGAGAAGAAGAGCCTTCGTGTGACCATCAGAAAGAGACAGCAAAGGAAACCAGATTCTTCCCAAAACTGTCAATGGCGATCAATGCAAGCTACAGCCAGGCCTTCCCGATTTAGATTAATACCTAGGATGATCAATGGTCTGTGGGTACCAGGCACTGTGCTGAGGGCTGCCCCTGCATCAGCTCAGCCTTGGGGACAGGTATTGGTGGTGTTTTTACCTCCACTTCATAGATGGGCCGAGAGCTGTTAATAAACAGTGGAGGCTATCTCTGACCTCCCACAGGCTACATGCAAGAATTTAACTCATGACTACTGGGGCTGTGTAAGATATCTGCAGGACATAGTAAGCCTCAAGAAGGCACATTCATTGATTTTTTTACATGTTATGCAAAGGAAAAAAACAACATGATTTTTTCTGCATTTGTATTAAACAGGCTTATATGTCAAATTTTATTGATTGATATACTTTATTTGTGTAAATTTATGGGGTACAAGTGCAATTTTGTTACATAGATATACTGAGTTGTGGTGAAGTCTGGGCTTTCAGCATCACCGTCACCTGAATAGGGTACCTGGTACCTATTAAGTAACTGCTCATTCCCCACCATCCTCCCACTCTCTCACCCTTCTGAATCTCCAAGGTCTATTAGTCCACTCTCTGTGTCCTTGTAGACATAGTATTCCGCTCCCACTTATGAGTGAAAACATGTGGACTTCTGTGCTCTTGCGCTGGGCAAGGGAACCATCCTATGGGAAAGGGTCTTACCAGTGTTCTAACAAGCGATGCGCTGACAAAGGACTCAGACAGCTCCTGCCTGCTGAACTGTTGAGAATGATGTGCTTGTCAACCTGATCCCTTCTCCACGGTTAGATGGAAGTTACTACTGGAGTTTTTCACCAAGGCATTTGTGGCATCGGGGCTGGACTCTCTAGGGTGTTGAGCAGCCTCCCTGGGCTCCATCTGCCAGATGCATCAGCACACTTTCCCAGTAGTGACAGTTAAAACTGACCTCAAACACGGCAAAGTGTTCCCTGGTGGGGGCAAGGGCAGAATTATTCTTAGGCTGTGAGCCACTGTTTAGATCGATGATAAGCAAATGGATAGATGATGGATAGAGGAATAGGTCAGTAGATGCATGATAGATGATACACAGATAGATGATAGACAGATGAGATAGATAGGCTGGACAGACAGATGATAGATAGAATGAAAAGAGAGATAGGTGATAAATAGGTGATTGATAGATATATAGATAATTGATAGATACATAGATGTGGATAGAGATAGATGATAGATAGGATGGAGAGATAGATAGGTGATAAATAGGTGATTGATAGATACATAGATAATTGATAGATACGTAGATGTGGATAGAGATAGATGATAGATAGGATGGAGAGATAGATAGGTGATAAATAGGTGATTGATAGATACATAGATAATTGATAGATACGTAGATGGGGATAGAGATAGATGATAGATAGGATGGAGAGATAGGTGATAGATAAATAGACGACAGATATATAGATAATAGATAGTAGTACAAGATGGAGATAGATAAAATAAGTAGATCGCTGATAGGAAGATAGATAACACATAAACATGATATAGATACATACATGAGAGATAGATGGAGAAGATAGACAGATGATAGATTGATGGAGGTGATAGATAAATAGACTATAGCTCGGTCTCTGTGGTGGACCCATCCTGTGCACTGTAGGGTGTGGAGCAGCGTCCCTGGGCTCCACCCACCAGATGCCAGGAGCTCCCACCCCCTCCCAGTTGTCACAACTAGGAAGACCTCCAGACCTTGACCAATGACCCCTAAGGGTGAAATCATCCCCTTTGAGAAACCCTGCTGAGTAACAAGAGAGCAGCTTCTGGGTGGGAGCAACTTGGGACTGCAGCAAGCAGAGCCCCTTCTATGCCCTGAGGAAAGACACGAGAATGCTTCCCCTTCCTCAACCTTCCCACGGCATCTTCACCTTGTGTTTCCAAGTATTCCCAGAGAAGAGTGGCAGGTGAAACTCAGTGAACACCACCCCAGGCCTGCCTCCTCAAGATAGATTCTCTCTGCTGTCAAGCAGCTCATTGGCAGGGTAGACAGGCAGGGGGGCTGCCTCCGCCTCCCTCTAAGCAACTGTCATCTCCAATGCCTGTGAACACACTTTTCTCCCCATGAGGAGCAGAAGCCTCTGAGCTCCTTAACACACATCACCCACCCCGGACATCTTATCCAGAGCAAAAGTTGGGCAACATCCGGTTTCACCTTGGAGTCCCCGTCCTGATGGGCTTGAGGTCTTTGCTGTGGCGTCATCCTGTGCACCGCAGGCTGCTGAGCAGCATCTCTGGGCCTCACCCACCTGATACCTGGAGCACCTCCACACAGTGGCGATGTCCAAAAGCGGCAGCAGACATCACCGAGTGTCTCCCCACAGAGCAAAAACTTGGGCTTCTATTTCCTTGTGACGTTTCTAATGCACACCCTAAATTAACAAAGCAAACTAAACAGAGCTTTCCTGTGCTTTAGCAAGGGTATGGAAAACTTCAAAGCACACTAGTGGTTTCTTTAGCCTGTGGCTGGCTTTCTCACTCTTCACTGTGGATATTTGGGGCTAGAGGTCCTGTGCACTGTACGTCGTTTAGCAGACCCCTGGGCTCCACCCGCTGCATGCAGTAGCACAGCTCAGCTAACAAGTGTTCTCTGATGTCAAAATCACCCAGGTGACAACCACTGCCAAGATTCGATGTTGAGAGATGGATGATAGATAATAGAAAATAGATTATAGATAATCAATAGCTATAGATACATCGATTATAAGTAGATGGTAGAAAAACAATGATAAACATAGATGGATGATAGGTA